ATATCACTAACATTCAGCAGCAGCTGGAACAGCAAATAGGCTAAATACCTGGTAAAAACCAACAGAATTAAAACCCAAGCTGAGATTCAGTAATCCAATGGATATACCATTTAATACACCAAATCCCAAGACAGCTCGTGGATCAAAAGGCTGGTGCTCAAAAAACTTCATCCATAATGCCACATGAAGTGAACAAAATGTGACCAAAAGATGCCAGCTTGTCAAAGTGGTTGCTGTAGTAAGTTGAATAAAAAGTAACAATGATTACACACAGACTAAGAGATTCAATGCATAAACTGTTATCATGAATGGAGTTCTCCCATGGCAAAGAAGGAACTAAAGTAGTAATCCATCAATAAAGAAGCAAAAAGTTTCCTTATTTCCGGGACACACAAACGAAAAAAGTATCACTCAAAGCCACTAGAATAGTTGCCATTGTGGAATCAAACCAGAATTAGTAGACACCTAATCTCAAGTCAATCAACCTAACAAATTCCTCAACTTACGCCTAAAATCATTCCTCATTAGGCGTAAAAATAAGCATGCTCGAAACTACGAACCATGAAGATGAACATTGTGAAAGTAGAAGCTTACCAAATGTGAAACCAAGAGTGCTAATAAGGGCCTTGTTACAGATCACGATCGAAACAGAGGATACAACGGATAAACTCAAAGCGCCGATTGTTCCAAGCTGGAACTTGTGGCTCTCGCTCATATTTGCTCTCTTCTTCAATCACGCGATCTACAATGATCTAAAGATAAACCACCAAAATTAACATAGATGATTCAAACATAGCCAATCAAAACGAAGAAATAGGAGCAACCCGGGTAAAAAAGAAACCTCATTTACGAAAATGTGAGAGAATTCGAAGCAGGAGAAGCTGAACTGCACCAATGGAGAAACTAGGAAGATTTATGAGAATCCAGAAGCAATAAACCCTAGATCTAATCGATGAAGATAAGCAAATAGTTTCACGGAAAGTCAGGAGAGGAAAATGGAGAGAATCAGACAAGTTCTAATGGAGGAGAAGAGAGATTCAGAGAATCTGTGAGTTTGAAAAGAGAAGATGACTATTTTTGTAAATTCCAAGAGATTCACCATACGTTTAATTGGGTCCTATATGTAATTAATATTAAAACAGAGCCAAAATGTAATGGAAAGAAAAAAGCAAGCACATGAGAAAATACAAATAGAAAATGTTCAAAATTTAAACCTGAATTCATTTTGAGTTAATGATGATGGGCCTTTAAAAGTGAAATACCCGAATTCTCAAAAATACATTGCTTATTTTTTGCCCAAATATAACCAAAAATATTTAAAAATATCAAAATTACCCAAAAAAACTACATCATTAGTTACTTTTTAACCAAATATATCCAAATGTATCCGAATTACTCAAAAATACCTAGTATATTCGGATTTATGATTATAATTTTAGGTATTTCGGATATTATAAGTATAAATATAACTAATATTTTTAGGTGTATATTTGTATTCGGGTACCCACGGGTATTGGATTCGGTTCGGGTTCGGTTCGGGTTTTTTTCGGGTAGGAGGTCTAGGATCCATTCGGGTATTTTTAAAAATCGGTTCGGATTCGGTTCGAATATTTTTTCGGGTTTTTCGGTTCGGGTATTCGGTTCCGGGTATTTTGTCCAGGCCTAAATCTGCCTATGTAAATTTTTTGAAAATTTGAATGTCATAGGCGAGTGTTTCTATTTCTTTCAAATATTCAAAGGTGGTCACAGTAATGACCGTAATTATAAACTCATTCCTGCGGATTAAATTGACACCTACAATGATAAAACAAGGTTATAAAATGAAAAGCTAGCAATGCAAAGTTGTTAGGCAAAAACAAAGAAATGAAATCTTACCTAATGAGAGACTAGATGGACTCTTTGAAATCAGATTTCTTTGAAGAGTGTGTGAGATCAAAACATGATTTAAGTAAAACTCTTGGCGAATCGAGCACAATACAAGAAGCTGGCGAAAAAAAACTATTAACTCAAGATGTCTTGTGAGATATGTTGACAAACACAATGAAGACAATCCGTTCTGATGTAGTATCAGGATTGAGTTCGACGATCACACTCAGCTTAGAAAAACACACATTAGAGAATTAAAAAAATCCAAAAAAACATTATAGAAAATAGAAGAGATATCTAAAGCTTACAATTGTGAAAAATGGTGTAAACATGTCTTGATCTATATGTTTTGCTCAAACATTGGTCAATTCTTCGCTTAGCTCTTAGATCTTGTACAAACATATCTCTATCCCATCCGTAATAGATGAAAAACAAGAGTAAAGTACCATTCACAAACTTAGTTCAATCCAATTTTTTCTGGTATATGATTTAACTTTTTAATTAAAAACCTTATACAAATTACAAGATACTCTCTTAAGTCAATTAAACATAAAATAATAATCTTTTTAGTATATAATTTAATTGCATAATAATTTTTTTACTTATAAAATAAAATTGAACTAAATATATGAAGACAAATGTTATATGAGTTTCTCAAAGTCTCTCAAATGAGACCCTCTCTCATTTCTCTTTCTTGCTTTTTTTATTTTTTAGAATTTTTTATTAGGAAATTTTTTCAATGAGAAACCAATGGAGATGTTCTAAGAAAAACCTTTAAAAATAAACCTACTATGCATTTGGTTGAAATCAATATTAAAAAAATCAACTCAACTGTTTCGTCACCAAGCACAAACTCCATTTGACTTCTACACAAAACCTAGATTAATGGAGACATACTAAAAAAACTCAACACAATACCATAAAAATACAAAAACAAAAACAAAAAAAAAAAACAAAAGATGGGACATTGTCGCTGTTTTGAACCAGAAACTTATTTTTCCTACAACTATGACAGAATCAAACACAAAACTGTACCTCTCTTTCTCTCTCTTCTTCTCCTCCTACTCTTGGTCTCAACATATTAATAAAACTGGCTATGACTTTAGCTTTTCGTTTTTCTCCTTCCATATTAGCTTGAAACTCTCGGCTCTTCACCAACTTTCTTAGCCTCTCCTTCTAACTCCGTAACTCCTAATACATCACCAGCGCCTTGAGCCACCACGCCCGAACACTGTCCTATTGCTCTTTTTCGACTCTCTTCTTTCTCCACCGCCACAGCTTCAGCATCTTCTTTGTTGTATGGATCACTGTTCAGATCTATCCTCGCTGTGTTCACTTCCTTCTCCTCCTTACTCTTATCAGACTCAGCCAGTTCCATGTCCTTCTTCTTCTTATCTTCTGCTGCTGTTACATCGCGCTCCAACTGCTTCTTCTTCCTCCTCATCATAAGCGTTTTGAACCTTCTCTTCACGGTGCTACACACAGTGCACCCACATGTAGGCTTGTGTCTACCTTTCCCACTTGGTGGCTGAATGCACACGATGCAAGAGCATCCAGCCCTGTGCCTTGGATGTCTGGTCGTGGTGGCAACCTCTGGCTCGCCTATTGTGTCTCCTAAGACTGCTGCACTCGCCAGTGCATCCAAACCACACGGTTCTTGCTGACTTTTTGCTGCCTGGCTTTCCCCAGTTCTTCTCTTCTTGTACTCTACATAAATACACACACAGTTAGTGTCTTGAGACTTGAGATTTTCTAAGCTGAGTATATGAAAGGTAAGCTGCGTTAAGAAACAAATTTGCAGGATACCAAGCAACAATCCATATTTTGATAAAATTCCAACATAAGGAAGGCGCAACAAGCACAAATAACAGCTACATATCCTGAATGTTTTATCCGAACGCCCAATTATAAAATGCTCACACTACAACCACTTGGAAGCAGTCTCTCACTATAATGCAACAAGCTAATGAGAAGGCACCATGAGAGGCCAGGGTATAATATATTTCATACCTCTTCCTACTTTAAGAACATTCTCAAGTTCCTTCAGACTCTCCTCCGGTGCAGAACATGAACACCTATCAATAAATATATTATTAATTACAGCGACAGGACCCCAAGGGGGAAAAAAACGCAAATTCTAAAATGATCATCGCTTGACGAGATTAAAAAAACTAGTGAAAGTTGTTACCTGCTCACGTCCCAAACATTGTCTATACATGTCCATTTAAAGGGAAGAAGAGCGTCTACAGGTAACCTTCTCCATTTAGAGCAGTCATCGCAAGTTGCCCATCGTTCCTGTTCACTGGACCACAAAAAAATTTGTTAGTGAATCATTTGCAAGCTGGAGATAAGCACCAAGTGCAAGTATTGAAGTAAACCATAGGAGAAGATATGTTGCCCTGAAGAAAGTAAGAACTTACCCTGAAGGTCTTGTAGTGACTATAGTCCTCTTTCCAAAGACAGGAGGTTCCTGTGGATAACATTAACATGAAATATGACTTAACTAGGGATCCAAACAAGGGTAATCACATGCAACCCATTGCTTGAAAAAAAACATTACAAGATCCACCACTTACGTCATATTCTTCAATTTCTTTCTCCTCAATGACGACGATGGTAGGCTTTGCACTAGGAGAGGGACGAAGCAAGTCCTGAGCTTCCTCCCAGGTGAGTCTCAGCTCCATAGATTCTTCACTATGCAAAAGAAGTCTCTTATTTTTTGCCCCAATGGTTCGAGTTCTCTTCTTCTCTTTAACTCGTGCAGGATCATCACCTATCCTGCCCCCGTTAGTCTCACTCTTCTGTGAGCTCAAATTTTCAGGCATACCGTTCAATTCTTGCGGTATTAGTGAGGGACACGATGACCCATTTATGGAGGGTGGGTTTTCTGTAACACCAGACGATGATGTGTCCTCGGTTGAAGTTCCATTGGTGAGACCACAACCCTGTTTATATATATTGGAACCGGATAAGAATGAAGCTAAGCAGAAAATAAAAGCCAGCACATTCCTGCAGAAACCAGTTCATAGAAACCCAACCTGCATGTCTCCAGCATTAGCTGCCTTTCTGGAACCCATGATTAGTTTTCCACCAGGATCAACCCGACTGAAAGTTACTGTCCAGGTGAAAGAGAAAGCCACACGATGAGAAAACCAACAATAGTTTTAGAAAATGGTTCATGAAGATTTGATGTTAATACCAGCATATGCTTGAAGCTTTAGCTAAAACATGAACTATAATATAAGTACCTGTATCACCAGCCTGTAGCATCATGGACTGTATGCATGGAGTGACCCCTTCTAAAACATACATTCTACTGTTGTTATTGGGCCAATATCTGAACTGGAACGTCCACTCCTTACCCCTCACATCTTGGATTTTCAGAGGAATGCCTTCCGATTGACTAATCGGAGGAAAATATGCCTACATACCGATGCAGACTTCAGTCATAACTCTCCAAAATATTTCAAGGACACCATAGAAATGGGAAAGTTACCTCTGCACAGGCTTTGGGAAGAACTAGACGACCAATGCGACCAGCATCACTGGCACTAAGAGTTTTCTCAAAAAGAGGTACAATGTTTAAATTCAAGCTATGATTGTTAAGATAAACATGGAGTCACCAAAAGCATTTACAGAATAAAATACTTGAAGCAAAGAAGGAGTAAACAAAGGATACTTTCCCGAGATCTGCTGAACCTCTTTATCTGTATATTTTGGCCAATACCGAGGAAGTAAGTGGCCTTTCCCTCGCCCTTCGACAGGAGGTCTTCCAATCCGCGCCTGAGCGGATTTACTAGCCACAGGAGGAGTTGAAATAGCAGGTTTTGATGGTTTTTGCAGTATATTAGAGGCAGAGCCATGGACCATGTTGGGCTGAGAAGCACCGATGTGTTTCTTTCCCTCGAGACCCTCGGTTGCAAAAGATGGGCTAAATGGATTTACAGCCAAACCCATGTTTAAAGATGGCTGTGAAGGTGATGATTCATGCATTTCCCCAGCAGCATCCAGCCTATACCCGGTGGTGGTATTTTCTGAATTCATTAGCTGACCAAACCCACGGTGAGGCATGAACTCTTCCCTTTTATCTCCGCCCATGACTAGTGGCTGAGAAAAGAGACCAGCTTCGTTTCTTCCTCCGTCAATATTCATTCCGCTTTCGCCATTTACATGTTGTCTATCAGCTAACGGTTTCATTGGCAATCTGCTAAAAACACC